CCATGCTGAAATTCCATGAAATTCACAGAGATGTGCTCGTAGCCATCGAACAAGTGTGGATCCCTCTGCCATCTGATAACGGTAAAGTTACAATCTATGAATCTCTGCAAATGCAAGTAGACCACGCATCCGCACGAACAGCTGCCGACCTACTTAGAGCGCCGTTGTAAGTGCAAGCAGCCGCTTTTGTCTCGCAGGCAGCAAATGCGCGAAAGTTAATTGCACCGCGCTAACGAGTGAGGATGAAACAACTGCTGCCGCGCTCTCGATGATCCCCATATGTCCTTTGTACAATGCGAGATCCTCGAATCACGAACAGTTGGCGATAGCGAAGCGATATAAATTTGTTGCCCACGCCACACCCCCGAGCGAAGACCAGCAACTGTAACACTTGCTCCTGCCTATCCCACTAATGGTTTTGTACTCCGCGAGCAACAGCGTGCTGACTAGACTTGCAATAGTACAAAGAAATAAATTTGTTGAATCTAATATCAGTGTTCCAGAGATCGCAACCCACGCCTCTTTAGCCTCAAATCATACTCGTGCTAGACGTGCTATTGCAATCCATCGTCGTTTACCGAGGTGAGCCCTATACGCCTACACTAATGGTAACTAACCGAGTGCTCCAATAACATTGTGACTTCATTGCAGTATTATTCTACACACTCATACTTATCCATCCTCTCATCCATCTCTTCCTTCAATAAAAAACCGAAACATTATTTCGAATTCTCTTTCGCATCTCTTTCGGTATCAATCCTGTCCTCGCTTCTCTCTGCGCAAAAGCTACGGTCCACTAAGAATCCCAACCTTGCCTTTACGCGATCCCCTCATAAGTTGGACTCACCGAAAGTAATTTCTGAACGTGAGAGAGCCCTACGAGAAAGACTTAGAAGAATGGAAGATCAGAACCAACAGTCTACAAGTCAGCAGAATCCCGAAGAGGATCGGAAGAAAGGAAGAAGAGGTGATCGTATTTATTTATTTATTTATTTATTTATTTATTTATTTATTAAAACAACAACAACAAAACAACCCTACTCGTCCAGGGCAGCCACTTGAGGGAGGACTTTCTGTGTATCAAGCGTGTAAGCTTCTGGTTGATAGAGTGCCCAAATTCACAGGTACTGGAGACCGTGCCTTCGAAGAATTCCTGGAAGAATACACGGATCTCATCTATCGCTTCGACATCCCGCCTGATCTTGCCAAAATCATACTCCCGCTATACCTTACTGGTCCCGCGCGTACGAAGTACAATAACCTAGAGGCAGCAGATACCATGACCTGGAAGTATTTGACAACTACCTTAGCCAAGAAGTTCAAGAGCGACGCTCTGCTGAGTAATCTGCGCGACGAACTCACAACATTACCCAAAGAAAGGATAGCGTTGCTGAGTTTGCCCAGAAGGGCGGCGGTGCAGGAGGAACCAGAGCCCTTGACCCCTGTATCCAAGAAGGAAAGGGGAAGAGCTGGCTGTGTGCCAAGAAGGATCTGGCAACCTTCCAAGCTCCGCCCACTGCTCTGAGTCTGGGTCTTGCCTTTTTTGTTCAGGAATTCCTTGATGGAAAACGCTAGTTCAGAAGACCTGGAATGGAGATACAAGAAAGGGAGAAACAAATTTGTGACCAGTTTTGAAAGACGAATCTTTAAAATGGACTTTTGTATGAATTCACATCAATGCAATTCAGCATTCTTTTGAAGATTGGAAATTGATGAACAATTTTTATTAGAGTTAGAGCCCCGGCTCGATTTCAAATTTTTCATGAACTCCTCTTTGACGAACATTTCACTTTTTACTCCAATACCTGAATGGCTTCGCTAAAAACTCACTAACATTGATTTTAACCTGACAAGGGAATGGTCAGAAGTCGAAGTGGCCAATCCATACAAGTTGCATACCATTCAATGCAGCATAGAACGCTGATTTCAAATCTGTCTTCCATATCTGCAGAGCGCCTTTGTAGGCGAAGTTATGAGCAGATTTACTGCGAAAAAATCGTACACAAAAATTGCGAAATCAGGCGCACTATTGCTTTTTTAGCTCATTTTTAGGTACGGGCCATATGAAGTGACCTAGTTGCATGTTTTGGTCCAACACTGAGCCGAAGAATGGCTTTGTAAAGTCAAGTTTGCCCTTTACACGCACAATTTCTTAGCAAAACAATGGCCTTTAGCGGCTTATAATTTCGTCCACAAGAGTGATCTGCAAATACGGAAGAGAGATTTAGAGTCAGCGTTTCATGCTGCATCTAATGGCATGCAATTTGCTTGAATTGGCCACTTTGATTTCTGACCATTCCCTTGTGAGATAATTTTCTCAATATTTTACGATAGTCACTGTGTTAGTTGCATTTGCGCTAATCGATAGCCGATTAGTTGGCCTTCGCAGAATCAAGCCAGTCGTCTGATGAGCCAAGAGAGTCATGACTCAAGTGAAAACTTTTTTTTATTAACTCCATCAAATGTTTTACTCGGAGGTGAGAGGAAAAAATTGGGAAAGATTTGCTAGAAAAACGTTGAAAAGTCGTGTTTCGCAAAGAAACTTGCGAAATAGATAGATGCCAAACTATTAACCAAAATTGTTCAAGTTGCAAAATCAGACTTGGCCAAAAAGCTGCAAAAAGCTGCACCAACACTTGTCTGTTATAACAGTTACAGTAGTTTTCATTGGTTCTCCTATTTATAATATATATTGTCCCAATTCTTCAATTTTATGGCTCGACAACTGCCAGCGGGGTGAAGCTTGTCCAGGTTTGGTTCGCACTTCAAATCTGAGCTGTGAAGATTTACTGAGCCTCCTCTCAGGCATAACGATGTTTGCGTTTGCATTTTACGTCCTTTTTGGATCTGAGTATCCAAGATGTAGTTGTTCTTTTTGTTAGAGTTATTTTTAAAATCACTTTAAGACTTCATTTTCGGCTTATGTTCTCCTGCTTTGAATCAAATCTTTTTGGTAATCCACCTTCTAAGCTGTATCATTATCAAATCGGTTTTGAGCAAAATTAACCAACAGTTAAATAAAGGTGTTCTATACGAATCTTACAAAGATGACCGTTACTCTATACATTTATTAGGTTTATGACATGATACTACTTCTATTATCATCTCGGTACCTTAAAACCTGTTTTAGAATCTTTACTTTACATTTCCCATGTTCCAATTCATAGTTCAACCTCTTAACTCATCGAATTTGACCAACATCTGGTAGTCCAACCACCATTCTTGCTCAACACACAATGGGAGCATCCCGTGGGCGGAGCGATGGGCGGAGCCTCCTCTGCCTTTCCCATTCCTTCTTAGTTACAGGGGTCGAGGGCTTTGGTTCCTCCTGCACCACCTCCGCCCAGAAGATCTACAACAAGACTAAGGTCGCCTTCCAAGGAATGGATAAGGCATGGCCTCCCAAATGGCGATTGACTTTTTCATCAACGGCTGTGACATCAGCTAAAAAAATATCGTATCCTCCGGCAGGAAAGGCAAGAAGATAAAGATACCATACAAACCATCAACGCCATGATAGCAGAGATAAGATCGAAAGACTTGAGCGTGAGTTGAACGCTCTGAAGATCCAGCAAGCGCGGAAGCCAACCCCTCCTCAAAAACGGAAAAGGGGAGGATTTAGATGAAGTTCCAGGCCATTTTTCCAAAGGTACCAGCCTTATAACCAACCTCGTGGAACCAATTACCGTGGAAAAAGGAACACCTTCCAAGAAGTGCTTTCACTTCTGATGTTGATGATGGCGTTGGATAATGATCGATTGCTCTGGTCTTCTCTGGGTTAGGTCGTATACCGTCTTTACAGAGTATAAATCCAAGAATGTTATCTCTTCTCTAGCAAATTCGCATTTCGATGCCTTTAGCTTCATCTCAATTGCTTCAATCTTCCCTAGTACTTCGTCGACATCCTGTAGATGATCTTCCGGGGTCTCTGATGTTATGATGAGGTCATCAATGTAGATAAACACTTTTGCTCTTAAATATCTCTTGAACTCCTCCATTATCCTCTGGAAAGTAGCTAGGGCTCCTTTCAATCCCATTGGCATTCGTAGGTATTCAAAGGGTCCGAGGAAGCAAGCAAATGCCGTTCTTTCACAATGAGATCCTTCTACAGGAATTTGATGGAATCCTTGCTGGAAGTCCAGTGAAGTGTAAAGACATTGATTGGCACAAAGGTCGAGGATATCGTGGATGTTTGGTAACACGGATTGTTGTGGTTTGGTGATCGCGTTAAGTCCAAGAAAATCAATCGTGAAGCGCCAGCCGTTGGAATCTCTCTTGCGAGCTAAAACGATGGGGGCGCAGAATGGTGACATTGATTCACGAATGATTCCATCCTTGAGCATCTGCATAATTTGCTTCTCTATCTCGAGTCGCTTCTCCAGTGGTACAGGATAGATCTTTCGAGCTGGTATATACTCCCTTCTATCAAATCAATCCGGTGTCGGATCGGTCCGTTGTGATGTCCGAGCTTTCCGTCAGGTCCAACAAATGCTTTCGTATGTCTGCGGATTATATCTTTGAGTTGTTCTTGCTAGATAGGTGTCAAGGCGCATTAGAAGTTGATTTCCGTGTTAATATCGAAGATATGGCTGTTGGTCCTTGGGTATTTTGGCATCAAATTCTCCCAATCAGCTTCCGGCGGAACATATGGTGTCGGTTGAATGCAGCAAATTTGAAAATTGCAGGGTACTTGCTATCTCCAAGTTCTTGAGCAGAATCAGGATGATTTGGATAACTGATTACACAAACGCGGCATCTTAGATGTGACGCTTACGAAGATACGAGCATCAAAGGATTCGGTAGGAAACTCTATCCATTCAATCTATCAAGCAACTACTGAAAAGTTATCAAAAGCTGTCAACCAGATCAAGTAGTCGCTAATCAACTTTGCTCTTTGGACCATCGTTCCGATCATTGTCGTCTTTATTCTCGTAGCAGCATGTGTTTTCGCCTTTAAGCTGTACTTCATCCGTCGTCCGAGCACAGCTGCGGCGTTTGCAATGATCGACCTCGCGAGCACATTCGCACGTAAAGGGATCAAACAAAGAGGAGTAAACGCTATATCAGAAGAAGAGGAAACGGAACTAGGCGGCCGACTTTTTATACCTTGCATCTATATCAAAGGGACAAAGAAAGCACGCTTGCCATATGTCAAGACAACCATCTTTGACAAAACATTCACAGCGCTGATCGACAGTGGTTCAGCTATCTCATGCACATCTCTTTCTGCTCTTCGTTCTCTCAATCTTGACGTATCTCCTCAAAATAACTGTTCTAAGGCTTATGCTGCCAACGGTACTTCCATAACGCTTATTGCATGTATAGAACTACCAATCGTTTTAGGGAATTTTAGCATGAACTACACTGTGCATGTTTTGAAGGATGAAGAATGTCCAGCTCCCGCACTTCTTGGGTCGGATTTTCTCCGACATCTCAACGAGTTAGGCATGAAGGTGTCTTTAGATTTGTATAAACAACAATTGACTGTAGGTGAGCATACTCATAAACTTATCCAATTGAACAGTATAATTCTACCTGAAAATCTGTCCTATGCTGTGCGCCTTCTTGACCCTGTCACTCTACCACCACGCACAAACAACTTTGCAAGCCAGAACTGATGGATACTATTCGACCACGCCCATCGACTGGTACATTGAGGACAACCAGCGCCCTTCTCCGGATATTTATATCGTCGGAAGATCACTATTAACACCTACGCTGGAAGGAGTTGGTTTCATCAACATCATGAATCTTACAACCGCACCGACCCTACTTTACCCTTCAATGAACGTAGCTAACGCAACCCCAATGTACCCTGCAGATTTTTAAATATGCTGCCTTCAACCGACACCATATGTTCCGCCGGAAGCTGATTGGGAGAATTTGATGCCAAAATACCCAAGGACCAATAGCCATATCTTCGATATTACCACGGAAATTAACTTCTCTCAATGCGCCTTGACACCTATCCAACAAAAACAACTTAAAGACATAATCTGCAGACATACGAAAGCATTTGTTGGACCTGACGGAAAGCTCGGACATCACAACGGACCGATCCGACACCGGATTGATTTGATAGAAGGGAGTATATACCAGCTCGAAAGATCTATCCTGTACCACTGGAGAAGCGACTCGAGATAGAGAAGCAAATTATGCAGATGCTCAAGGATGGAATCATTCGTGAATCAATGTCACCATTCTGCGCCCCCATCGTTTTAGCTCGCAAGAGAGATTCCAACAGCTGGCGCTTCACGATTGATTTTCTTGGACTTAACGCGATCACCAAACCACAACAATCCGTGTTACCAAACATCCACGATATCCTCGACCTTTGTGCCAATCAATGTCTTTACACTTCACTGGACTTCCAGCAAGGATTCCATCAAATTCCTGTAGAAGGATCTCATTGTGAAAGAACGGCATTTGCTTGCTTCCTCGGACCCTTTGAATACCTACGAATGCCAATGGGATTGAAAGGAGCCCTAGCTACTTTCCAGAGGATAATGGAGGAGTTCAAGAGATATTTAAGAGCAAAAGTGTTTATCTACATTGATGACCTCATCATAACATCGGAGACCCCGCAAGATCATCTACAGGATGTCGACGAAGTACTAGGGAAGATTGAAGCAATTGGGATGAAGCTAAAAGCATCGAAATGCGAATTTGCTAGAGAAGAGATAACATTCTTGGATTTATACTCAGTAAAGACGGTATACGACCTAACCCAGAGAAGACCAGAGCAATCGATCACTATCCAAACCATCTCAACATCAGAAGTGAAAGCATTTCTTGGAATGCGTTCCTTTTTTCGACGGTTCGTCTACAATTTCGCTGCGATAGCTGCTCCACTTTTCGCCCTAACGAAAAAGGATGTCAAGTTTCAATGAACGATGGAATGTCAACAAGCGATGGAAGAACTTAAGCAAGCACTGACCTCCGCGCCGATCCTTGTCGCGCCGCGACTCGGACACCCATTTATCACTGAAACTGAAAGCTCGGCGAAGGGAATCGCCGCTGTACACGTCAACAACAGAACAATAATATTACTCAAAGTTATTGCGTACGCCAGCCGAGCGCTCAATAAACAAGAAGCTTGTTATCCACCCATCGAGCTAGAAGCACTAGGAGTTACATTTGCAGTTCAGAAGTTTCGACCTTACACAGACGGAGCCAAATGTGCATCATAACGGACCACCCCCCACTGAAAGCTCTTCTACACCGGAAAAATCTCACTGGAAGACTCGCTAAATACCAGATAGTGCCTCAGGAATACGACATCGAAATTGTGTTGACCCGGAAAAAAGAACGTTATATGCGACACCCTATCTCGTCACCTGCCAGAAGTCAACAACATCGATCAAGACTCTAGCTCTAAAGAGTTGGATATCCTCACAGCCAGAAAAGAGCAATAAGATTGTGTATGGATCAAGAATTACAAAGAGGCCTTACGGAATAATTGTGACTACCCCGACCTTGCAGAATACATCATCCTCAATGACCTTCTCTACCGTATCCGCGAACGCCTTTATCAAGATCCTAGGTTATTACCTGAAGACTCGACTTTGAAACATCAACTCATAAGCAAAGTTCATGCATCGAAATTTGAATCCGCTCAACTAGGAAAAAAGAAGACAACGACAGTTGCATCTGAGTTAGCGAATTGGATTAACATGCGGAAGGATGTCCGCAATCATGTCATCAATTGCCCGACTTGTCAAGCCAGAAAAGATTCCAGCGCCTACCGCATAAACGAGCCTCTCCACCAATTTGAAACACCTACTAGGCCATGGCAACGGATCATTCAGACGTCGTCGGACCCTTACCTCTTACCCTAGAAGGAAACAAGTTCATCATTGTTTTCGTGGATGCCTTCTCCAAATACATCATTGCCGAACCGATACCAGATCAGAAAGCGGAAACAACTGCAGATACTTTCATCAGTCGTTGTCTTGCTCGATTCGGTACCCCAGAACAACTTGTTACCGATCAAGAATCCAATTACATGAGCAACACGAGAGAACGCTCAAAAAGCTAGGAATAACACACAAATCCAGCACTCCTTACCATCATGAAAGCAACGGACAAGTAGAAAGAGCCAATCGCACCATCCAAGAGCTCATTTCAATGGCTATCAAGGATTACCCAGACAGGTGGGATAGTGTCATTCATATGATAACATATGCTTACAACACTGTGGATAACTCAACAACAAAGTACTCCCCTCATAGCGTGATTTATGGATGTGAACCCAACAATCCTTTCCGTGTTGCTTTGCAACCCACCAAGAAGTTTGTTGACGAAAAGGACTACGATGATCAACTGACGATGACACTCAAGAACATTTGGCAGGAAGTTCATCACAACATCGAACACTCTCAAGAGGTCCAAACACATCAGTACAATCTCAGGAAGAGGACCTCACCAAAGGATTTCAAAATGGGAAAAAAGGTGATGATCAGGAAACCAACTGGAAACAAGCTCACATCTCGCTTCGAAGGCCCTTTTGAGATTATCGACATCAATCGTCCCAACATTACTGTTCGTGATGGAAGGCGAACGCGTGAAGTTCATATGAACCGTGCAAAAATTTATCATCAGCCGGACACTCATGAATCACCGACAGCCGAAGACTAATTAAATCCCTCCTGACCCAGGCCCTACGACATCAAATTACCTCCCCCCCCCCACCCCTACCACATCAAGAACAAGAAATATCAACAGTTTTTCCTCTTCTTCTCTCTCTCCCCCCCCCCCCCCCGATCCCAGCCAACGACACACCCTTATTACAACTACGTGAGACCCAATACACGCCCGAATGACTGCCAAATTAATGTGGACAAAAGTACCCGATGCAAGTGGATATCTGTAAATCTTCAACGCAATCACCCCAATACCGCTAAGAACGTAATTACGCCCAATACGGTAAAATGAAGACAAAGGACAACATCAATGGTCAATGGACCTGCCAATCAAACCAAATAACATCGAGGGATGATGTTTTGCTACGCTATTGATCCTAGTTTCTCCAAACAGTCGCGCTAATCTGCTATCTGCACTTTTCATATTACTGCATACGCTTACCGTCAACAACATCGCGACCCAATCATACATCCTCGCGCTCCCACATCACCAAATAAGGACAAAATGATTATGCTTGCGTGATATGTACTAACAGCATCAACATAGTCATAGGTATTGATTGCATTGATATAGTCATAGAGATTGCATCAAAATAGTCATAGGTGATTATAGTTATGTGTAATAAAGTTATATTTGTAGTAATTTGTTAACTAACCGTTAATTTTTATTCCACTTGCATTGTATAAATATTTTTAGATGACTCCTAATCCAAAGCCCCGAAATAACAAAAATCTCGACGAGGCCCCCACGTGGGACACCCTATCAATACAATCGGACTCATCCGAAGAATCGATTCGAGTCGGAGCTCATGGCGATTGGCGGGAGAAGTCAACACCACTCGATATAGAGGGCTACTCATTTCGGAGGCTCTCGGAAACGACATCCCTGAGGGCCGAAGACCAGCCACAACTCAACAAGTAGCCCCTCCAGACGCAGACGACTGCGGCAGTCGAGCCGATGGATTTCAGCAGGGACCCAGCCTACCAGCAGTATTTCCAAGAATAACATGAAGAGGAAGAGCAGAGTGAGAAGCCCCCTCCACCCGAATGGCAATACCTCGGGTACTTTTACGAGAGGAACGAGGAGAGAGATTAGAGCTAGGCTGGTACTCGAGAGAAGGATTTGGAGACCTGTACGAGTTCCCCGAAGAGTCAGCTGGCGACGATCCGACCCAGGCCTGCATGCTCTGTTACAGCAACACCCACTTAACGCATGTGTCAGGTCCAAACGCCTCCCTTCCTCCGAGTGGCCACTCTGATGGTACATGGTCTCTGCATGAGATGCGGTCGGTCCCACAACGAAGCCTTTTGGGAATGTCACCGCCCAATTCGATGCCGTATATGCCGGAGTCCAGACCACCCTACGGTCGCCTGCGTAGTAAACCGCTATCCCCTGCCGCCGCCGCCACCGCCCGAGTCCGAGGATGACTTCGAGTAGATTTTTTTTAGTTCCGGGGCCCGGAACTTTCGAGGGTGTAGGATGTGGTGCCCGCTAAAAAACATCATGCACCAACGTGCAACTTTGCAGTCCGAGGTTGGAGGCGGAACCTTAGCTTTGCAGCGGAGAGATCACCGCAAGGCGAGTAGCTCCCCCGCCTCGCGGGATAGTACACCATCCTACGCCGCCGAAAGAGCCTGGCGTTTAGTAGAGTCATCGGGTACTTATGATCATCTCAACTATATCTCATGTGCTTGTTTCAATTATACCTCATGTATTCGTGCCTCATCGATTCCATGCCCATATGCCTCATATATTCGGTGCTTCTTATGTAGTAATTATTGCATTGTAGAAGTGTTTTGCTTTTAGTGCTTCTTAAAAATAAAGGTGTGGCTGATAAAGTTCTAGAAATTGTTGGGAGAGGAGAAAAATCAACACAAAATGGAAGCTTGAAGATGAAGAGGTGGCGTAGAAATTCTTCAATGCATGACGTCCGCTTGTTGAAATAAAGTTATACTATCAAAAGATCTTAACCAGGAGTGAGCGTGGGGTCAGGCGCGCCCGACCGGTGGGTCGTATTTGAGGCAAGAGCAAAGGGGAGGGATCGTAATCAAGAAGCGATTATGTTCATAAATTGAAGAGATATTACGATTGCGTGAGGTGAAGAAAAAAACGCTCACCCGTGAATCTCAGGACTCCACCAGAGAAGCCGTGAACAACATGTCGATTTACTCGAATAACAGTCTCAGCCAAATTTCAATTCTTCATCTTAACTTACACATAACGTAAGGTCACCAAAGAAGCTTCTTGTGTAAATTGGGTAAAATTTCCGTAATAGCATGCCAGATTACCTTAACGAGCCATCACATATTACGTTTTCTAGTGTTTTCTAACGTCTAAAAAGCACGATTTTCAAACATGATTAACTTGGTCAGAAAAGTGAAAGAAGTCAGCTTTTTTGTGTATATAACAAAGAATTACTCTTTATTACTATGACAAAATTTGGACTTCATATCGCTTTCAAATAATGGATCAAGAAGTGCCGCCGAAATGTTAGTCACCGCGTTTTCTACCTCGAGTGCTTCAACTCCACCGATCACCAAAAAGCTAAAACAAGGTGAGCTCGAACACCTATTGTAGAATCTTCGAGGTTTATGCTAGCGAATCATATAAAACTAAGGTGGAAAAGCTTTTTCGGTGATAAAGTTAATCGGGTCAGGCGCAACCCCTCAAAAGGTCAGGCTGCCTAAGCTTTTGAGGAGTTGCGCCTACCCTTTCAACTTGCCTTCAAAATCCATAAATCGCTCCATTCCTGGTAAAAGAATTGAATTCACTTCTTCTTGCTACAGTGAGAATTTGGAGCCGAACGCCCCACCCACTGAAAAATTATGGCCCTTTCGATAGCCCCATTCAGATCAAAATCAGGCATCGATTTACGTGTGATTGTAAAGTGCAGTCACATAAAACAGTTCAAAAATCTGAAAGCTCTCTAGGAAAGGATGATGCTTTCAGAATATCACATTCTGAGGTTCCGGAGGTTGCGGAGGTCAAGAGGAGGAATAAGGGATCGTTTAAGGACTGCCACGACGGGGGGGGGGGGATCGTTCTTGAAAGACTTGTGCCTGACCTCTTGCTCAACTCTGATCGTAACAATCTTGGTTCAGCTCAGCCTCAATTTAATCAAACGTCAGTCTTTTAGGAAACTCTGTATATGCAAATTTCCCACGCATTCAATCCGGAGCTCCTGCAAATTTTAGAATCCTTTTCTTTCCTCTTAACCTTCTGCTTTCAGAAAATGGATGTTCCTCTCTCCCGTGAGTCATTGCTCGTATGTCGCTCTGTCTCTCAAATACCACAAACGGATGCTGGTTAGCTATAGGCTGCTGCACGGCGAAGGCGCAATATCTTCGGGCGTGAACGCCGCTTTATTAACCGCAGAGCGCATAAGGCGCCGGATTTACAACGTTGAGGATGCGCGCGCCGCGTTCGCACCCGCTCAACTAATACTGCTTTTGCGCTTTCGTCCTGCAGCAGCCTTTAGACCTCTAATTCTATTTCCCCGCAGAATACAAAGTCTACTGCATCACTTCAGAGTAGAGTTCCAAATAGAATTAGAGTTTCAACCAGATCTAAATCGGAACGAACCAGAAGGAACATGATTAATGTTCATTGATTGAAAGCTAATGGAATTATGTCGAAATGTAAGAAAATGGCAGTGACAGGCATTAGCTGATAGTGTTTCTTGTCCTGATATCACTTATACGGGCTGGCTTTTTTTGCATAGTTTCGAAGACTACTTGCTCGATTGCTCTGTTCACCATACGCAGCTCACCATCCTCTGTCATTGCGATAGTAGCATCCTGAAACTTGACACTCAATTTGCCCGAAGAAGCATAGTAGGCACAAGGAAAGAGTATTTGGCAAAATTTCGTCAAACTATCTTGATATCTTCGCTTCGCTACTTCGCTTTTCACGCATGATCTGTCCATTCCCGCGACTACATAGTAAAAAATCACTTTCTTGATTTATCATTGATCTGAGGGAACTACAACCGCTCCCTTGTATACGATCGAAAAGCTCTGACAAAGCCCACCGCTTCTTCGTTTTCCGGCAAGTCTGTGGTTTGATCGAAAAATTTTTAGAAAGTCTTTGCGGTGAAATCAGGTGAAGAAATGCTAACAAAACCTTGTCAAAAATTCTGTGACAGATTTATCCTTTTATAAACAGAAAAAAAAACAATGATAGAGGAGTACTCGTCCGCTCAAAAGCACCATTTGAATTTCAGCACTTCTTGAACACAGGTTAATTGTTTCAAAAAAATCAACATCTGTTTACTGTCCACTTTTCAACCGATGTAAAAAAAAGTTTTGCATCTGCCATTGATTACTGAGCTTTACATGAAATAACGTACTTTTAATCCTTTGCCAAAGCGATTCTCTGCGTTTTGCAAGTAGTCAACGGCAACAGCTTTGACCAAAGCCACGATATTCATACCAGTGCACAGTTTGTCCATCACCCTAGAAGCATAAAGTATCGATGATAGGATAGGAAGATGATGGTTTTCGTATAGGTAGTTGATTTTAGAAATCTAGACCCGAAGTGTCAAAATCTAGCAGTGATATCCATTTCAAAGGAGCCGCTGCTGCTTCCAAAATTTGCTCAAATGGATACATCCAAAAAGAGCTTACCGTTGCATAGCTCGTTCAGACTGTAACAGAGCGCAACATCCGGTGCGAAGCCAAATCTCGACATCAAATGCTGCCCAGAACTGCTCTGAGCCATCTTTGGCATGCCCATCCAAATGGACTTCATGATGAATCTGACAACGAGTTAGTAGATGATATAAGAGACACAAGCTTAGAACCTAGGTGGACGTGTTCGTACAACATTCAAAATTGTGCAAGTTCAGTACTAGCGGTTATGGGAAGTAAAAGCAGACAGATTTCATAAAAAAAGAACTATAATTGCATTTTGTTGGAAAAGAAACCTAACACCTCTAACATACCTCTTTTATAGCACTACGCACAGCTCGTTCGTCAAATGTATCATTCAACATTGTATAAAGCGATCGTGAGATGCAAAATGTATCCACCCAATCACATCGACAAACAGCATGCACTTGGCGTACTATCTGGAACAAATAAATCAGTTTACAGAGAAGATCATATCAAAAGTGAACAAGTTCGTAGATTTTGCGCATTATTTCATAGAAAAGCTGTCTTGGTACAAATAATCCAGTGATTATGAAATAAAGAAGTGCGCTGTATAAAAGCAAAAGTTGAAAAAATACAATACGTTCGCAAATCTTGGGATATGCGGAAGAGCCTATAGTGTAAAAAAAATTTTGTGAAGTGGGAAAATCTTAAATTCTTCATCTTCGTCAACATGATTATTTGTACTGTACCAAACTCTCGAGGTCATGCTAAGCATTCCATTTCATCGTGTCCACAGTGATAATAACCGAGTGGAGATATCAACACTTCCACAGAAAGGGCAGTCTGCTTTTAACTAGAAGCGCAGATGTGCTGGTTTTTGCAAGTAAATGAAAGACTTAGTATACTAGTACACATACTAGCATTCCGCTTCAAAAGTATGAGGTCTCTTACTCCTCGGAAAAACTATAGCAAATTTTTTCCGTTTTGCGGTTGAAATGGAAAATGCCGTCTCACTTGGAACCTCACGTATACTCAAAACTGCGTAATTCTCTGTATACAACGACATTTGCTAAATGTAAAAGGTTGTTACTCCGAACTACTTATAGATAAAACATAGTGGATAGCCCTTGTCGTCACTAATTTGAGGTGAGAAAAATTTTTATCATATCAATAATCATTATCGCTGACCTAAACTACGACTTTTTCACCCAATTTTATATTGAACAGGCATCGATTTTTGGATGAAACGAAAAGAAGCTGCGGGATGTGAGTGTCAGAAAAGCAGCACGTAGAGGAACGCTACCCATGGCTCTCTACATTCTGAACTATTTGATGATCCTTTTATTTTCAGTTTACGTTGAATTGCCCCCTTTGAATACTAGGAAACAATTTTATAAGAAACTATGCAAAGTGTTCCTCAACAAAACAAAAACATACTGCTGAGATAACCATCGTTGGCACATCTTTGGTAAAATTGTCGGTAAGTCGATTATTAGCAAGAAGAATCATTTTTACAATGTCCTCATTGCTCGGTCCAGGTTCCATGACTTCATCGTTCTGCAGCTTACATTCAGTGGAGCGAGTTGTGACCAAGCATCGCAGAAGCACGAATGCCTTAAATTGGCCTCAATTTTTCAATACTAAAGCTTATTTTGAGCCTACATACTTCATCTCGCCTATGTTGAGCTATTACTTCGCGAGTCTCGGGGTAGGCACCCGAAATACCGAGCATGTATTTATACATTTGAAGGCGATGCACGCTTGGAATGGTGTGTCGCCATGCGTAAGTTCGCAGTCGGACAACATCGATGTCCGATGTGCCATTTATTACCTGAAGTGGACAAGACAAAAATGTGAATATTTTACATACCAATTTGAACTAACGTCATTCAGCAGATCCGCATCAAACTCTCCTGTTCCGCTATCTCGGATGCATTTGGAAATGAGGTTTTTGCGAAAGTTATTTGCCATAGTTCGTCATTCCACGACTCTGTTTTGGTCGCTAAACATGACTCCTTTGTACAAACGACTGCGACAAGAAAGAAAAAAGCAAATGAAGAGAATCAGCACCAATATTTCATACCTGCTATAAGTTATCTCCTACCAGCCATGATTGAAAATGTCATGCAAATCTCAACTTAAGCTTGGAAAAAGAAAAAAATGTTCTTCATGACAAAGCAGTAGAGTGAGCCCGACAATAAGTATGAGGGCACAAGCGAAATCTTTAAGTCACTTTATGTGTTATACAAATGTGCAGACGACTCTTTACTTGAAGATAATCGAAAAAAATATTCAAATTTTTCAAAAAATCTCCAAATTAGTTTTTGGAAAAAAAATCGGGGATTGGCTGCTGCTCCGCCCGTTTCCTAATCGGGATTATGGGCTGCAAAAATGGGAAGCATCCCAAAAAAGTCCAGAATGCGTGACTAACGCCACGCAGTTTCATCCGAAAAAATTTTTTGCCGCCTCTTTTCATTCAGCAAAATGAAAAGTGACGCTATTTTGTTTCCAATCTGACACTTTCTCGCTGTTCCTTTTTGGTCCGCGAGATATATTAGGTTGGTGCAAAAGGAATGGCCGATTTTCCAAGTCTTTTTTCAGGGCAACTTTTCCCCATCAATTCTTCTTCTTTACAATAGATGTAGTATACCATCGCGATGCTGTTTTCATGCTCTATCTAACGGTGCTTAAAACGGGCTCTCATCATCATTTCTTGTAAAGTTGCTAAGCTTCAAATAACCGCATCCAAATTCAGAATTTCATTGCATTCACTTTTCCGGCCAGAATTTGAGCGCGTATCAATAAGATTTCTTCGAAAATTTAGCTATTGTATGTAATAGAAATTGTCTACATTATGCATACTTGACTGTGTTCTTTGAGGCTATCCAGACTGAGATATCGGCGCCTAAACATGGGTAGCTGTTGCGGTCATTTTATGACCCATAATTTTCTTCTGAAGAAGTCAATCGCCAGAGCTTTGCTCAATTCTGTAAGCGTAGGGCTAGGGCATCCTGTTAGCAGTTTTTGCAAAAACATCCAGCTGTTCAGTACCTAGAAAATCAAAAAATTCTATATTCGGGACTTTGAGGCACACTGAAAAGATGTTCAAAAAAGTGGGAAATTTCAAATTTCAATTTTTTTTTCTTTTTCGCAAACTTTTCTGTCCGAATTCTTTTTATTGCGTTTTGTACTACTGGCTTGCGGCTACAAGATAGGCTACTTAACATTTATACTAACAAACTTTAAAGGAAGATATGAATTGTCAAAGACAAGGTTCTAAAGTGCGGTTCATAATTATACGAACACCCCAAATTTTGGAAGTTTTTGGACTTTTTGGAAGAAACTCAAAAAGCCGTTGGTACCACGCGAAAGAGCACAACCGAAAACGATATGTAATCCATAAGAATGGAAATCGATGTCAATCTTAGGAGCGTTTCTGCGCCTAATGCGAATTTTTAGCGGTTCATAATTATACGAACACCTCAAACAAAGGTCCATTCTGCATTCAAGATTGCAATCATTCGAGTCCAAATTTTTTGTAGAGTTACAGTAACAAAGTCTGACATACCTGCTACACACTGAACCCAGTGCAGCTCAAAAAGAGGATCGCTATTTTTTTCAGATGGCTCTAAATGCTTTTGGAGTGATTGCGCTCCAGAAACATCCGTTCTTCTGTGGTTTGCGCACTCTAATTAGCTTCTACCAAAGCTATGAGATAAAATAAGCTCTTGTGATAGATATTTTGTTTGACGCTTGGAGAATCTATGCGTTTTCTTGCCGTTTTTCAACCAAGTTTCAACCTTACCCTGAAGTTAGCACGATTTCGACCTCAAAACTCAGCTTCCCTCTCGCGCCAACGTTTGATATGAAGTAGCTGCATTCTTTGCATGATGATGTATCCGTGCCAGCGTTTTTGTGTTTTTTGTAGGACTGATCTTGAGGCTATGGAGCAACAAACCAAATAAAGTTGTGATTGCAATAGTAAAAACAGTGGTTTTGGTGAAATGACGTCTGCGTGGCCAAAACAAACGCTCAACGCTGCTGATTTTTTCTAGCCGAATACACAATCTTGTGAACTTCTACATACTATTTGCTCACTTCATTGTAGGGCTTCCGAAGCTGAGTTTTGAGGCTTGAAATCGTGGTAACTCTAAGGTAAGGTTGAAACTTGGTTGAAAAGCGGCACGAAAACGCATAGATTTTCCAAGCGTCAAACAAAATATCTATCACAAGAGCTTATTTTATCTCATAGCTTTGGTAGAAGCTAATTAGAGTGCGTAAACCACAGAAGAACGTATGTTTTTAGAGCGCAATCACCAAAAGCATTTAGAGCCACCTGAAAAAAAGTAGCGACCCTCTTTTTGAGGTGCACTGGGTTCAGTGTGTAGCAGGTATGTCAGACTTTGTTACTGTAACTCTACAAAAAATTTGGACTCGAATGATTGCAATCTTGAATGCAAGGTGGACCTTTGTTTGAGGTGTTCGTATAATTATGAACCGCTAAAAATTCGCATTAGGCACAGAAACGCTCCTAAGATTGACATCGATTTCCATTCTTATGGATTACATATCGTTTTCGGTTGTGCTCTTTCGCGTGGTACCAACGGCTTTTTGAGTTTCTTCCAAAAAGTCCAAAAACTTCCAAAATTTGGGGTGTTCGTATAATTATGAACCGCACTTTAGCAGAAGAACCTTTTTTTATTTTTCAATCCATATTTTTCTGCCCGTTCGTGATATGAGTATAAATAAATGTGCGCTGCATTGCAGAAGGTTTGCTGCTTCTGATAGTTTTTACCGCATTCGGAAATGTGAATTCTTCCAAAAGTTATAGCACGTCAAAGTAAGAATTCGCAAATCGGCCATTCCTTTTGCACCAACCTAATATATGCAACTTCGCAAAAGCCAAAAATACCCTCGTATTGCTCATAGTTATAAAGTTCTGCATATTCTCAGTTCTCAAGCGGAGTCCCACAGGGGATGATAAACAGGTGGGTTCGGATGCTTGTCTTTACAGAAAGCTGCGAGAAAGCATAGATTGTGGAAAAAAAATAAACGACATCCTTATTCTAAACTATACTATCAAACTTGAGATGAAAATCAAAAACGAAAATGTTTGCATCAAACACTTGTTCAGGTTAGGGCTTTCTCACTTTCACGGTTGCTCCAACGATTCCAAAGCAACCTTGCAGATCACCATGGCCCCATTAATACCCGTCAATCAGACAAGTAAGCCTATTCAAGTAAGTGAAGCAATTCACAAAGTATTACACCAGTAAAGCATGACCCACAAACTGAGACAAAACTTTCAGCGTCGAGCTTTTTGTAAGTACTAGACAATAGTGTACAAAGGATCATACGAGGTGTCGAAGCATTTCTCATATCCAAACACAGCTACTGTTACGTTTTCTTGGCCCCATTTATATTCAGAACACCTAAAGTGCCTAGAAATGCTTCACTGCATTTTGACGTTATACCGCAAAAAAAACAAATTTGAGCTGATAGTACTCATTTATACCTATACTATTTGTATTAAAGTTTATCTTATCTGTACTGCATGTTCTGTTTTTATAGCAGCCCTTTTCCTAATCTAGCACAGATGGCAAACTACAATATGAAGAACCAAATACATTAACTAAGAGATTTACAGAAAGAGCGATCAATATGTAGATTAGAGTCTAACAAAAAGTCAAGGTCACTATCCTATACCGCCTATCGTGTGTATAAGCCTATAAACCAACTTTTTATTCATCACAATAATCTCATTACACACTGTATGACATTTGACTTGCATGAGGGGGATGAAGCAAGCTGGTTCTTCGCATGACATTCAAGATGTCAACCAGAGAGAAAAACAAATGGATAACAAAAGCCCATATAGAACTATTGTTGAGTATGACATCGCTACCGTAAATATAAAATGGCTATATGAAAAATAGTGAAAGAATGACATGCTCAGCGAAGTAAGACTGTGCTATTTGCGTATCCATCGGCCGCCTCTGGTCGAAAAGCCGTAATGAAGGTAGGAGAACCAACGATAGAATTATTGTTTTTAACAGAAAAAATGAACTACACTTGACCGGCACTATGTACACTGGAGAGATTGAAATTCGGGACTGAACGCAGCGATGAAGCGCGAACGAAGGCGGCGGCAGCGATTATGACGAGCAGCGCGGAGGAACGGCGAGGGACGTGGATGCGCCGCCAAATGCAGAGCCTACGGGTCGCGATGACCGTGATGTTACGAAGCGAAAGGAGGCGCTCTGCTGATTTTGGAAGCAATGAGAACGCTCCAAAGCTAGATCACCGGGAGAGACCATTACATACCTAAAAAGGCAAACGAAGAAAGTGCAAGGAGATGAGAGTAACGATAATATGGGCGTCATCGCATGCCGTCGCTACTACAAGGCTCACCACACACACGCACACATACTCAGATATCCAGACACATCTCTGTTCCGGAGCACGAGCCACTTCGCATGGCTCTAGGGGCGAGTAAATAGCAGCAGTGCTCCATGTATGGGGAAGAAAAATATACTTTGAAATATACACACCAAATCTGAAGATTGCTGAAAACATGGAAATACGAATTTCGACTGAGAAGAATATGAAAATTCTTCTATTTTATTAGGAAGAAGTGGGCGCCGCGCAACGTAGACACACATACACACCCTAGAAACCGTATTTTTGCGACATTTAAGAAAAGGTAGAGGAGATGAGAACGTGCGCTGGAGGACAAGAAGGTGCGAGAGAAGAAGAGTGGGGGAATATGGGGTGAACAAACGCTTAATCAAAGATCTTATAATCGGGCAGTTGAATTTAGTTTGATCCACTAGCTGATGGCATCTCGTCGTTGTTTCCCGTATCATCATTTCCGTCCTTTACTTCCATATCGCCTTCATTCTCTCCGAAGTTTAACCATGACTAAAAGAGCCATTATCATATCTAAGCACATAACAGAAGCATACATCTAAATAGAAACAGAAAAGATCTTAATAACGTGAAAATGTACGGAGTGAAAACATAGCATACTAATATGAGAGGCGGTGATAAAGTGCTGCGAAACAAATAATTTTAGATTCATCAAACCTCAAACATATGATGCGATCTTTGGTAGAAAAATGAGATAGACAGTAAGCGTTAAGGTGAGCGAAATGCTAATGCGTCGAGAAAGTAATTGGTAGAAGAAACATTCTCACCTGCTCGACAATCTGCTGAACACGCTTCTCGTATTCACGGCGATTTTCCTGGTAAAGTTGAGCAGCATGAGAGTTTGCGGGGGAGTTTGGATTAGGCTCATCCAACAACGATTGGATCGACGTTAAAATTGCAGCCACATCGTAGGTGGGTGACCAGCGGTTCTGCAATGGCAAAAGAGATAATCGTAACAGCAGAAGATTCAAAAAAGCTTTCTCACCTGCAATATATCCAAACAGATAGACCCGTCGGCATACACGTTAGGGTGGAACATTTTCGAAATGAACTTTACCGTCGGGGGTTTATTTGGGTACTCCTCCGTAAATTCCAGGGAGAGCTAAATATCCAGGTTAAAGGCATGATAATAGTCTAGGTATGAATGATGCATCTGAAGGACTTGGCATCAACAACATAGCTGATTATGCTAATGAGAAGCTGATAATACCTTGAAAGTTCCGTCCTCAAAAGGAGTATCTTGAGGTCCAAAGATGATGGCTTCCCAAGCAAGAATGTTATCTTCCGTAGGGGCACCAGATACACCTGCAGGAGGGTCCTCCTGAAACACACGTGGCAATGTTTGAAGACATGCACTGCGAATTATCGAAATATCGACATAGATAGCAGCAAAGACTTTCTAGACAAGAGGCAGAACTGCTCAGAAAAAGCTGAATTTATCCAGAAAACTTGAAAGCAGATAGCTATACAAAACACGAACCTGAAGTTTCTTGAAGTCACGCATAAGTCGTCGTCTGCTGGGCGTCGTCATTTTCGTATGATTCACCTATGAAAGCACGATGGCCTCCTGAAAAGTGGTAAGCGTTTATATCAATGAGATACGGGCATTCATAAAATGGAAAAAAAAGTAAAGTTACGTAAGTAGGTGCGTTTCTACGCCTGCATGAAAAAGACAAATTTTTGCGTGACTCGAAATAATTTATTCGATTTGATACAAAGTCACATGTTAATTACTTCCAGACAGATAACAGAATCAAAATAACCAGAAACGTAGCCTACAGTTGGATAGCTACAACACATACGTACAGATAACAGGATAAAGATCTCAAGAAAACGATCCATCAACATTTGCACTCCCGTAAACAATGTCTAAACCAGGCTGCACATCAACAGGCTCTCCATTGCGATCAACAATAACGCATTGTTCTGCACGATGCCTATTTTTCCCAGGACTTTCTTCTACTAGATTTTGGTGCTGTTCCACCCATATCGCGTCATTGCCTTCTTGACAATGTTGAGCAAGAAGATACTAAAATTACATTAATATCAACAAAAAACACGTATTTGCGGAAATTGAAAAACGAAATGGCACGCAGATGAATAATCTAAACAACAGAATACAGACAATAACTTTTGTTCTTTTCACCTCAACAATCAAGATGTCATTGATTATACCGAGTCGTCTGTAACTTGCTTATGATAGTTTGCACACCAAACGCGGCAGACGACGTCTCCTAACTTGTAACTGCTCAGTACAATATTTTCTAGCGCAATAAAGTGTAAAAATGTATGCTGTGACTAATAACACGACCAATCAAACCAAATCAGATGAAAAAACAAGAAACAAATTGCTGGAAATGAGCAGGTTCTAATTTTGAGAGTTCGTAGGGTAGCGTGCATGGTGTGCGATATGCATATTAAGTTACAAACAACTCGAGGATACGTGTTTCAACTGCATTCGACAGCAACGGAGACACTTCATTGGAAATCGATGGAAGATGCACTCACCTGCTCGAAGCGCTCTAATATCGGCTCAGCTCGGTCAAGAACCGCAGCGAGACGACATAGATTTTCGGATTTCTTCGTCAACGCAAGGCGACGTAAATGATCCGTATGTGAAAGTCGAACTCGAGACAAAACATCCATTGCTGCTAAAAAACGAATGTTGTGTGAGTCTGATAAAGTGCCCAACACATTTCGAACGTACGCAAAGCTTTCGGCCTGACAATCTGTCTGGTTCCAATCTTCAAGCGTGTCAAAGGAACCGATTTTTTCATTCGAAGGGTAGCCACGTCGTTGTTTCTCAAATCAGCACGGCCTCCAGATGGACTTTCGGTCTGCCTCTTTTTCGCAATGATTGCATCCTGCAAGTGACTATTTGTAAAATAACATATAACAATTATCGTAAAGCTTGAACCAATTAAACGTCGTTCGTAAAAGGTGCTTGAAAAACAACAGAATAAGCCAGAATTTCGCCTAGCTTCTCTCAGAACAACGATTTAGAACCTGAATATCGTCACTGAATCAATTTTTTCAAACAGATACGCCATGCACGAACAATCGGCAAATTACAATTTCACGCAAGAAGTGTCATTGGAAATGACATCATCGTCTAAGCAGTGCATGCAATGCTTCGCAAGAAAGTAAGCATCAACGCAAATTTCGGATAGCTGAAGGATCTTCCCCCTAGACTTATATAAATGATAATTACAAGTTAGTAAAAAGCACTCAACTAAAATATAGGAAATGTGAAAAACTCACTCTGTTTGCCCTAGCGATCACCGGCTCAGATTTCCAGTGAAAGGTGACTACCGCTACATGCGTGTTGATCCGCGGTTCATCCGACTTATCCCGCGCAACGTATATTTTGCGAACGAAACTCGGCACATCACTGCACTCATATCGTTTCGCGAGAACCTGGAAATGTGCACGTTTTCTGAATTAAAAGCACGTCTGTGGGATTACGTAACGACGAAAAACTCGAAGAGGTTCTCAACAAGACCGCTGTTACAATAACCACTTGACTCGGAACAGCTGATTTGCAGCATATGCTGCACGAGCGCGAGAGTTTCAAAGACAGCAGCACCGAGAACAAGAACAATATGTTGCACCCTTTGAGTTGACGTTAAGTCAGAAAGTAATTCAAAAGAACTTTTGCGAAAGCTATGTCGACAGCTGTGTGGCGAGTGATTGATGCCGCAGGTATACATATCCCAAAAACCATATGACGTTCAGAGTAATAACTGCATCTCATTATTACAGCAGCGTAACGAAAATCCACGGAGTTCGCAAGTGGCAAAGAGCGCACAGCTGATCAACATCACTCGCGATATGAGAAGATGGTGGAATATCTTACAAAAATGCTTCAAATCAATAAATCAAACAGACTATGGAATATAAAGAGTAAGCTCAGTAATAGCAGATATCATATCAGAAATGAAGTTCTTCAAATATAACAATTCACAGCACTAGTTTTTCAGATATGTATGAATGCACCAAAAATGTATTACGTGAACAAAGCAGAGAGAAAAGCATGTGCCCTCTATTCACTACGTACTACGCATGTCAGCTGAAGAATCTCGAACAAAAGGAATGTTCGACATAATTTCCGGAAGTTCACAAGTAAGTGCCAGTCGGCCGTGAAAATTGCCGAAGAGGAACTTGCATCGAATATGAGTAAATGGAACAGAGTGTCGTGATGACGGTCGTGCTGGTGACATCAACAACTCTAATTAGTGAGAAAAGCAATGGGTAGAGACATCCGGTTGAACAAGACAGCAAACAGGAATAGAAAATGGTGGGAAGAATGAAAAACGTCCTGGGAAGTGTAGTTTTGTAGAGCAAACAAAGGTAAGTAAGCCAGAAGCACCAGCAGAACCGCTTACATGCCATATAACGACAGAAATTGACGTATGAGAAAGGTCTTATGTATGCACGTAACCAATTGTGCACTTATAGTCTAACAAGTGACATCTGGTTCCGACAACAGTTCGTGCAGAAAAGATTGTGATCAAGAGAAGCTGACAACACTGGCGGGTACAGCGTGGAAAATGAAGCGTACAGCCGAGTCAAATGTAACCCAATATGTGACTCACAGCACGCACGCTATTCCACGACTCAAAATTTTACAGGCTGCTATTTCTAAAACAGTCCCTTTGTTTTCTACTGTTTGGGCGTACATCTTCTTATAAACAAAGACATATAAAGAATCGTAACCCAATTCAAAAAACATCAGATAGCGGGAAACCGCAGCCCGGTCCCGAAGCGCGAGGATGCAAATCTAGCGCCTTTAAAGGCAGCGTCCAGGCAGATCTGGACCTATGGGGCTTTTACGTGGAAAGTACTTCTGGGGCCCTAACTAAGGCACTGCCCAAGCGGCAGCTCAGGTTGTGCTGTAATGGCTGAGATATTCCCCTCGAAACTGGACCCCGCGACCGTGTTTCGCATGGATTCTTGGCAGTTTCGCGCCAGGATCCACGCTTTGCGCCATGAATCCATGCGGAACACGGTCGCGGGGTCCAGTTTCGAGGGGAGTATCTCAGCCATTACAGCACTACCTGAGCTGCCGCTTGGGCATTGCCTTAGTTAGAGCCCAAAAAGTACTTTCCACGTGCCCCATAGGTCCAGATCTGCCTGAGCGCTGCCTTTAATTACTGGTTCCCTAGTGGGTAAAACGAAATGTAAGTGAACATTTCTCAATAGAATGTTTAGAATTGTTCTTGATGAGCATTATTGGTGGTGAGCACCGTGAATGGCGACTCGGCAAAAATACTACTTCAACCGCCAAGTCTATTTAATATAGATAGCTACAATAGACTAAAAGTCACGAAATTAAACTGCGCGCATGTATGACAATATCAAACGTATTATTCTCACAAGGGAATGGTCAAAAATCGAAGTGGCCATTCCAGACAAGCTGCGTACCGTTAGATGCAGCATGAAGCGCTGACTCTAAATCTGTCTACCTTACCTGCTTATCGCTTTTCTGGACGAAACTATAAGCCATCGAAGACTATTATTTTGCTAGGAAATTAGGCGTGAAATTGAAGATTTAGCCGTACAGAGCCTCGTTCGCCCCAATGCTGGGCCAAAACATGCAGCTAGCTTACTTCAAATTTTTAAAGCCAGAAGCTGAGCTAAAAATGCAACAATATGCTGAATTTCGCTGTTTTTATGTATGATTTTTTTCACAATAAAACCGCTTGTAGCTTCGTTCATAGAAGCGGTAAGCAGATAAGGAAGACAGATTCGAAGTCAGCGTTTTATACTGCACCCAATGATATACAGCTTCTCTAATTTGGCCACTTCGACTTCTGACCATTCCCTTGTCAGATCCCAAGTTGTTTGAAAATTTCAATTTGAAACTGCGGGTAATATGCATCAGTCCCCTAATCAACAGAGGCCAACAGGTGAAGCGCTTCGCATCCAATGCGCAGAATACGGCTGTGAAGATGTGACTGCTGAGTTGACCTCAGAACAGGCCTAACCAATGAAAAGTAGGCCTAACAGCCCAAAAAAATGAAAAGATTCTTTCATTTACTGATTGCGAAATAGGGACATTATATTGATAAAATAAAATTCCCGAATTTGTAATCTGATTAGGTACTGAAAAAGAGGGGGAGGAAAAAAGGACAAACTAATAAACCTTGAAAAAAAACAAATATAACATGTGAGCCAACGATGAAACGTCACCTGAAATTACAAAAGCAACCATTCTGATGCAAGTCAGGGATGGGAAGTGTAGCGAAAATACTGGAAATAGCAGTGGATACTCCACTCCGGACATTATTTTGTTCGGTCCCTGAAATGTTATCGATTGCGTGGCGCAGGCTGCTCGCTGACGGGAAGCGTAGCCTAGGCCCGCTGCCCATTTCCGCCTACGAGAGGATGTGAGAACATTCCGGAAACGCCAAGTCCACAAAACAACGTCATCTAACGACACACTTCCGACCTGCTTCTGAATGAGGCAAAGCTGAGGGGCAGAAACACAGACAGAGACAAACAATCAGCTGCGAGTGCGATCGATAGCAGCGCCCCCCGACGTCTCCGACATGGGGGCCTCGTCAGCGCGGCGGCGGGTGGCGGCGCACTCGATGCAGAAAGAGGACAAATCGCCTCGTTTCGGAGGCGAAGAGTGACGTCAACGAACTCATCTACACAAAAACATACTGCCGATGTTGAGAGCACTTTTTATAGCAGAGATCACTGCTGCACCATCGTACTTTCACGTGATCCACTGTGTTGACTGCTCCCACTGTCTGTCAGAGATGAAAGTGGAGCGACGTGGAGGGCAGAGTTCTAGTTGTTTAATAACAGAAAAGAACTGAAGCAAAAAATCGAGATATTCGGAAGACATCACTGCTTTGTACAATTGATTTACCGAAAATATAACACATTACTAAACAAAAAATTGAAAATGCACGTAATCGCACGAGTTCAAAGATGAATTTACAATGACAAATTTCATTACTTTTTTCACTCGCAGTGGTGGCTAACCTGGTCTCATAAACATGCACTATGAAGGTGAAAAATAAGATGTCATACAAGAGAAACAGTACGAACACTGACTGCATCCAACCTCTGCTTTAGCTACATTCTGACAGAAAGGGATGAATGATTTCCGATGATACTGAGATAATCCAAGCAAAGCTGCCTTACTATCTCTGCGATTCGACTGCGACTTGATGTGACGCCTACACAATTTTCTACGCGAAACTATACTGATCGTTCGATCGGCGCAAATGAGCAGAAAAAAATGACGGTTGGCAGCTGTCAACAGATGGCATTTCATTTGCACAAATGGAGTGATTTTTGGTATGAAATAATATGAAGAGGTCAACAATATCATGTGTTAGTGTTACCCAATCCGTTGATGGCGTTTGAATAGCTATTTATAGTATCTGGACAGGTTGCAGGATGAGCAATCCAGCAACGCAAAAAATGGAGGCAGAGAAAAATGAAATTGAGGACGATGGTAGATGTGATTGCAAAGCATTATAAAATATGACAGAAAAAAGAAATGCTTTCTACGATTAGGTGCAGGTACAAATCAGCAAGTTGGACGAAGATCACAATGGTGAACATTACTGACCACTTATCAAGCAAATCGTAGGCCGAAAAATAAAAGACGAATGACGTAAGCGAAAGAATCCATCATGAACTCCGACTGATGCTTCTAAATCTCATGAGAGAAGTCAGAGCTCGTTAATGTTTCGCAGCTCAGACGCACTTCGCGGAACGTCATGTGATGTACTCTGTCCTTGGAGAATTATTTTCGAGAAAAGCGTGCGACGAGAGAAAAAGCGAGAAGGATGTGAGAGGTGACGAACAGAGCAGAATGGCAGAGTTTAAAAAGTTTCGAGGGCAGCTACTTAATGTTCATCTTTGAAAAGGCTTGACGAAGACAAATTCGCTAGTGCAGCAAAGCGCGGACGTAAAACATATTGAATAACTCGTAATTATTCAAACTGATTCATGTCACAATTATTCATATGAGTCTAGTAAAGAGAAACAAAATCAATTATCAGAATCAAAACAACATTCTAGTAAAAACGATGAAAGCCGCACATTATGCTGATCGTAAGAATGGAAAGCGTCCACCTAAGGTAAGGAAGGCGGTTCAGTAAAAAAACAAAGCAGATGCATATAGCTTGTTGGGATGAATCCTAACTCCGAGCGGAAATGTGCGATGACGAAGACGAGCATAGGAAACAAAACATTTCTGTATGAAATGAGTCATTCGGAGATTGCACTGCATATTATAAAGTCAAGATCGATGAGTCATGCGGCCTTTCCAGAATTTTCGGCAGTGTAAAGACGAAACCATCAAAAAAAAACGATTCAGCAGTGCAAGGAACCTCATTCCGCCTCTGCAGTACACATGTAGGAATAAAGGAAAGAAGGAGTAAAGAGGAGCC